TAAGATAATATTTTCATATGTGAATTATTAGAAAACTTTTAACCGAAAACTTGATCACTTTGTGCATATATTTTTCATTATTTAATGACCATTTGCAATAAATTTTGGAAATATCTATATTTTTTAAAATTTTTATTACATTTATTTAATATTATAAACATTTATTTGATAAAATTTTATTATAGTGGTTGTTTCCAAAAAAAATAATTGAATTTCTTTTCATTGACTTGGCAATATTGTTTTGGTAATTTTTGACATTTGAATAATTTGTTTGTGTTCAACATTGTTTGTAAACAATTTGTATATTGAAAAGGTAAAACATCTTGATCCGCTTTGGCAGCCAAAGTTAAAAAGTGCACAGAAATGTGAACCTGCCTTTAGTTGGGTAGTTCATTTCACTGAGCTACCGATAAATGATGTAGTACAAAAAGCTGAATATGAAAAAGATGTTTTTTACTTTGTCAAAGAAGCCAATCTTGCAAGTTTTACAATGTGTAGATCTTACTATCATTTAGTAAGAATGTGTACATTCTTACTATCATTTAATGCAAATAGCAAACTAATTGATAGAAATGATCAAACATGTTAGGATGTTACTGATAATAATGATATTCGTATGCTGTTGTCTTCATAACAAATATAATTTTTGACTTACCTTTTAATTCAGATCTTGTAATGATTGTAAATACGGTTTTAGTACTTCATTAATAAATAAAACAAAATTTCATTTATTCAACACAATTATTTTCTGAATTTTTTATATATAAACCTGGCTAGATTTAAATTTACTTTCTAACAAAAACTCTATATGATGGTGGCTTAAATAACTTCAAAATAAGGGTATCATTAGCACTGGTGGCATGTAAAATATTGAATTCTTGCCTTAACGATATTATTTGTTTCAAAAATATTGGTACTACTCTTTGCACTAGATGCTTTTAATAATTTGTTTGTAAACTACATTGAATATTTTTTTGGTCTACAGCATGTCTTGAGTCGAGAATCACTGCTCTAATTTATGCAATGTCTGCAAACATTTTGTTGTTAAAGCTGAGATAAGTGCTTTGATTTATTGAGAATACGTTAGTGAAAATATTCTTGTTGTAAAGAAGACTACTTACTTGTTCGTACATTTTTTACACAAATAGTTATATTGCAAATCAGTACTTATAGTGGTTAGATTAGGTGGTTAAGTGGTTAAGTTACCCTTAGCTCCATTGTGATACCCTTAAGAATTTGACACCTGTCACTATAACCCTATTTCTTTGTCACTATAACAAAGCCATTAAAATAGAAATAGGGAAATACAATTTAGCTCTCTTAGTTAATTCGTGCGACCCTAAATCAGAGAGTCAATGTCTTGCGAAAGCAGGACACTGTAATAGAAGGTGTATTGGTGATTGCTATTCGTCATCCTCCATGCAATATCTACAGTGCAAGGAGGTCCTGATATTGTGGTTAACAAAATTGTAATTTTCAATAAATCAGTTGCAATCAATTTTATAAACTACACTACACAACATCGTTGTGATTCCAAACTTGTTTTTTTATTTTCATTACTATTTTTTGTTTTTTGTTGAGGAGTATACTCAACTTAATAAACTTAAGAAAAAACATACATCATTGAACTTCAATTCCAATTTTACAGAATTTAAAATACCTATCCCAAGCGTAGTATATAAGTGCTGAGGTAAGTTTTGGCGCGCACAAATTATGAATGAATAAGGAGATTTTCGAAGAAGAGAACCGTAAAGAAATGCAATTATTTTTCTTCAAAAGCTTTCTTGTTAAGCTTTTATTACCCTTAGAAAAGCTTTCGTTGTTGGAAAGGCAGGGCATACTTTCAAATACTCTCATTTTCGTTTTGCAAGTTGCTGAGGTCGGTTCATTTTTTTCGTGTCTCGGTTAAACGCATAAAATCAAAGAAGTGAATTAAATAATAATTTTTGGCTTTTTTGCTCTCTAATTTTCAATATAATTTTGTGTATATATGTATTATTTTAAAGCAAATGCACAATAAATTAAACAATAAAAATTAGAATCACCGAGATTTCGTTTGAAAAATAAATAATGTATTAAAAATTCAACAATTTAAGATTTTTCTGAAGCTTTCTCTGAAACATTTTAAAGCAGTGCAAAACATTTTAAAGTATCTAAAGCATCTGCAAGAAGGTGATGATGCTGCACAGAATCTGAAAAAAATTAATTGAATTTTAATTGTAAGTGGGTCAAAATTGTGTTGAAAACGTGAAATGTTTTTACTTAAGAATATAGCTTGTATGAGTTATTTATTGTCACTTTATTAAGTAGTTAGATTTTTTTAATCGATTACTAATAAAAAATGTTTTGTGCTCAATTAAATGAATATCAAATAAATTCAATTTTATTATTCCAATTTTCATTCTTTCTATCTACGAAATTATTTATATGGTGTGAATTGATGCGATCAAACTGTTCACACAATCAAATTAAAATAAACAATTGAAAAATATTGCATTATTATAATTATTTATAAAAATGTAAATTCCCATAGAATTAAATTCGTCAATTGAAAAATCTTACAAGTTTGTGTGATTGTGCTTTTTGTATACCAAAATCTTTTAGTCGATTTTAATTTCCTGTAAGTAAAAGGATTTTTGATATGTCTTCCTCTCACACTTTTACTGTTTTACTGTCACAAGGAATGATTTTACACATTAAAATGTCGTTTTATTTAAATTTAAGACTCTTTGATTGCTATGACTTTAAGCTTAAATAACCTAAAACATAATTAAAATAAAGATTAGTTCACACCAACATATTATTAATATTCAATCTTATGGTCCTTGCTAAATGCTTAAAGACAAACACCATAAGCATTGGCTTATAGATTTGTTTTAAGATTTAAAGGTATAATATGAATATAAACATATATGTCTCTATGATCGTATAATACATACCATTACAGTACATAAATACTTTTATAAATAGAAAATAAAATATGTATATGTATTTACAGTTCTAATAACTATCATATCACATTGTGTAATTCGTTTTTGTTGGTCACGGTTAGTATGCCTTAAGTAAACACCGGACCTAGGACAAGTTCAATTTCATTCCAGAATTTTCGAAGTCAAAGACACATTTCGTTCTACTTCGTTAGTCATCAAAAAAAGACGATGAAATTTTGCATCTGTTGTAATAAAACCAACACGTAAGCTGTCAGGAGATAGCACAGATATTAAACATCAGCTATATTAAAGTTTGGAATTATTTGAAAAGAGAAGGTTACACAAATACGTTTAATGTTTGGGTACTATATAAATTAATGCAAAGATATTTGATTGAGCGAATTATTATCGGTCAAATATGATGATTATTCGTAAATGGATCAAATGCGGTAATATCTAATGGAAGTGATCGTGGTCAAAGGCCAGTGATCCTCCATAAGTAACTTTAAAGCCTGGATTGATGGTAGACAAAGTTATGTTAAATGTTTTGTAAGATTAAAAGAAAATTGTCTATTATGAACTGGTCCAGTTTAGTGTAACGATTAATTCGGTCCACTGATGTTTACAACGCGACAGCTTTAACGAAACATTGAAGGACAAGTGCCCAGAATTATCTAATAGAAAGGGATTGGTGTTCACACATTTTTGATTAACTCGAAACAAATTGACGGAACTTGATTGAGATGTTTTGATGCATCCACCGTAAAACCCGAACCTTGTACCGTCTGCCTACCATTTATTTCGGTCTCCGCAAAACTTTCTTAATAATAAAAAATTGGCTGATCGAAGAGTCGCTGATAACATTTCGCCAATTTTTTCGTCGATAAATTATAGAATTGTTACACCGATGAATATGTGAACCTACCAAAAAAATTGCAAAGGTCATATGTATTTGATTAAAATTGGTTTTCAATAAAAAAAACTTTTTGTCATAAATGTTCCAAAAAATCGCGGATAGTTTTTATGTCATCCATCATCCTTGTGAGTAGTATTTATAGCTCAGTTACACATTTTATTTTTCTCAGGTGATGCTTGAACTAGGGCACTGTCAATTTTAATAAAATTCTAACTTATGCGATTCAGTTTATGTTATCTATCGCCTTCGATTTTCATAGCAGGTATTAATAATTGAAGTATATAAAAAAATGTTGAGATATATTTAACCTTCAACAAAATTATTTAGTTCGCAACTAAATTGAATGCAGAATACCTATGACTAATACTTTTTGATTAGTATTTACACTATTAAAATCCGCTGTTCAAAGGTGTTTACAAAGTTGATTTCATAATAGTTCAGTATACAAATTTAACAGTCATTTTAAACTTCTACGAGATATATATTTTATAAATTAACAATCACTTTTTCTAACCTATAAAAGAAATCAAACATGAGATAAAAATATTTATTAAAACTAACAGGACGTATGAGTGACTTGTTAGAGTATTAAAGAATATATTATGTTTTGTAAGATGTTTGTAACACACTGCATAATATGATGGGCAATATAGAGTGCAAATATATCGACTTAATGATAAACGTTTAAGTCTTTATTTAAGCTAATCTAATGAAATTGTATAGAGTGAAGATATTTCTATATCTAAGTAAATCTAGTCAATAAAAGCATAAAATCAATTGGCGCCCATACAAAATTACCACCGATAATGAGCTAATATTAAAAGATATGAGAGTGCATTAAATCTTTAAAGTGCCAAAATTTTGGCGAACGCAGAATGCAATTTTTTTCTTGTTTTTTCAAATTTATTGTGAAAATTGTCATATTACACTGTATACAAATATATGCAAATATATACATCAAATACCTATTTTCTAAATAGGTATTTAAAAATATAAAAACTGCATAGACTGTAATTTTATGTTGATAGTTTTTTGTATATTGCAACTTGTTTACCCCCATAACATTACATTTTTATAATATTTTTTACTTAATTGAACAATAAATCTTTAACTTTCTGTTACATTTCAATGATTTTAATATGCGTTTTTTTCAGCAGTTGTAGTCATTACATTCATTAGACTCTGACTTAATTGCTCTACAGTAGCAAGCGAATGTGCGCGACAAACCTTAACGTAGTCAGACGTCTATTAACGTATAATTAACCAATCACCACCCTAACCAACATAATCAATAGGGTTTTTATAAAAAACAAAAACCTCACGCAATGGGCGACAACATTATTGGTTCCGCCAGCTTTCTGCATTTGGGCGATATTGTATCGCTATATGCAGAGGGTAGTGTTTGTGGCTTTCTAAGTACGCTCGGGTAAGTGAATAGAGTGCTTTCAATTTATAAACTTTCATAATAACTTCATTAGGTGTGTGCCTAATATGCTTTGCTTGTAATTTATGATTTCTTACATTAGATTTTATCTAATTACTTGTTTTTTTTTTTTGTATTTTACCCTCGGCAGCTTAGTGGATGATCGTACTGTGGTATGTCCAGAGGCAGGAGATTTGAACTATCCACCAAAAAAATTTAGAGGTATGATGGTTTCAATGAATATTCATGCATATTAATTTTTTTTGTTACTTAATAATTATTTTTGTCAATTGTTTTTAGATTGTCTTATTAAAGTATGCCCAATGAATCGATATTCCGCACAAAAGCAGTTTTGGAAAGCTGCTAAACAATCTACCAATTCAAATACGGATACAAATTTGCTGAAAAGATTACATGTAAGTAAACAGAAATAAAATGAAAAAGAAATTAATCTCACTTATCCTTAAACACATTGTTTGTTTTTGTAGCATGCCGCTGAAATAGAAAAGAAGCAAAATGAAACTGAAAATAAAAAGCTGCTTGGCTCTTCAATACAATATGGCAGCGTAGTTCAATTGTTGCATCTTAAATCTAATAAATACCTAACGGTAAATAAGCGTTTACCCTCTCTACTCGAAAAGAATGCAATGCGTGTTTACTTGGATGCGAATGGAAATGAAGGTTCATGGTTCTATATAATGCCCTTTTATAAGCTGCGTTCTATAGGAGATAATGTTGTGGTCGGTGATAAAGTTATTTTGAATCCAGTAAATGCTGATCAACAAAATTTGCATGTTGCTGCGAATTATGAGCTCCCCGATAATCCTGGCTGTAAAGAAGTCAATGTTTTAAATTCATCAACATCTTGGAAAATTACTTTATTTATGGAGCATAAAGAAAATCAAGAACATATACTTAAGGGTGGTGATGTAGTGCGACTATTTCATGCAGAACAAGAAAAGTTTCTTACTATGGATGAGTATAAAAAACAACAGCATGTTTTTCTGAGAACTACTGGACGCACAAGTGCTACTGCAGCAACTAGTAGCAAAGCATTATGGGAAATTGAGGTGGTACAGCACGATTCTTGTCGTGGCGGTGCAGGGCACTGGAATTCTTTGTACCGTTTCAAACATTTAGCAACAGGTTATTATTTAGCAGCCGAGCTGGACTCGAGTGAATCTTTAATGTCCATAAATGATGTAGCATTTAATACTGATATGTCCAAAGACGTTTTTGCAAATGCTAGTGGTAAATTACATACAATGAAAAACTTTAAAAAAAATGTTAATTAAATTTTCATATATCTAGAAAAAATTAAAAATGAACAATATCGGCTTGTTTCGGTACCATTTTCTACAGATATTGCATCAGTGTTTGAATTAGATCCTACAACTATGGCTCGTGCAGATAGCCTTGTACCACAATCTAGTTATGTGCGACTTCGCCATTTATGCTCAAATACTTGGGTTCATGCTACTTCCATACCAATTGATATTGACGATGATAAACCAGTGATGTCAAAGGTAAATTATATTGAAATATTGCTTTGTTTTCACTATATCATTTTAAATGACAATTATAATTGACTGGTGTGTGAAATGCGTTTTCATTACATGGTAAGAATGCGAAGATGACATCATATGACTATCCATTTTCATTATACTGACAATATATGACATTAAAAATGATAATGAAAACGAGGCATATTCCATTTTCAAGTTTTCATTAAAGTGCTTTTCAATAGTAAAGGAAAATATTTTTTTATACTATTAAATTTTGAATTAATTTATCGACCTGTTTTTTTAAATAATGGTTTTTATATATTTTTTTTTTTATCCTTATCCTGACGATGACTCTCAAGAAGAGTCGAAATATAGAGTACATTAAAAAATATCAAACAAACGTTGAGTTTTAATTTTAACAAAAAGTGACCTATTTTTTTAGTCTTTCCAAAAAATTTGAAATATTATATATCAACTAGTCGTTCAGTTTTAAATGTTGAAAATACATTTGGAACAAAAGCTTTATGTTAATGAACCCTAAAGATTTGTCACAATATTAAACTGTGCATGTGAAGGACATTAAATTTCAAAAACGTTTTTTGTGTATTTATTATATTAAAAGAGTTAAAAAATAAGCCTTTATTTTAATGTCGTTAAGGTACCGTTAAGGTAGGGTAAATATTAATAAATATTTGCCAAAGTGAAAAATAAGTTAACTCCTTAGTAATGACATATTACATATTACATTTACGCCATTTTCTTGTCATTAAAAATATTAAATATCCACTGTGTACTGACTTTGCTAATCTGCGAATTAATATGGCTAAGTTACGAGACCGCAAATGCTAAGGCGTAGGGTTATATTCAATGTTGCTAAACTTTTGCTGATGCTGACGAGCAGTTGGTCAGTAAGCCTCCATGCCAAAAAATGGTGTATTCTCTTAACTAGAAATACAAAAGGTGCAGTGAAAAAGAGAAAAAGCAAAGACAAAATTGAACGGTTTATGTGTAAATCCCCAGACCTGACAAGATAAGGCATTGCATTGCGAAAGTTTATAAACCTCACAAAAATAATATCCTTCATTAACCACGCAAGTCTCTTCCCAAACTTACAATCTTATCTCAGTTTGGTAACAAAAAGGCATCTATGCTCTGCTTGGTCGGAAAATCCATCAACCAGTGTATATTGTTTCTATTTGTGTATATATATTTTCATTTTTTCAATTTTTTAACTAATATTAGCATAAAAAAATAAAAAAAAACTTAAATCCAATCAATTATTTTCTAGGTTTGCTGTTCAACCATTAAGGAAGACAAAGAAGCCTTTGCTCTTATACCTGTTTCACCTGTTGAAGTACGCGATTTAGATTTCGCCAATGATGCTTGTAAAGTGTTAGCAACAGACACTGTTAAGCTAGACAATGGCATGTTGTCATTGAACGAAAGGAGATCCTTAATAGCTTTATTGCAGGATATTGTTTACTTTATTGCTGGCATGGAAAACGAACAGAATAAGACTAAAGCTTTAGAATTAACAATAAAAAATCCGATACGCGATCGGCAAAAACTTTTACGCGAACAATACATTTTAAAACAACTTTTTAAAATTTTGCAAGGACCTTTTCAAGAAAATGCAGGTGGTGAGGGACCATTTCTGCGTCTCGATGAGCTTAGTGATCCAAAAAATAGCCCTTACAAAACTATATTCCGTTTATGTTATCGTATTTTAAGACTTTCACAGCAAGATTATCGTAAAAATCAGGTAAGTTAATATAAAACTATTTAATTCGAATATAATTAAATAAATAATTTTTATGAATTGTTTGTAGGAATACATAGCAAAACATTTTGGTCTTATGCAAAAACAAATTGGATATGATATATTGGCTGAAGATACTATTACAGCGCTTCTGCATAATAATCGCAAATTACTTGAAAAACATATAACAGCAGCTGAAATAGAGACATTCGTTGGTTTGGTTAGAAAGAATATGAGCAATTGGGATTCTCGGTTTTTAGATTATCTTTCTGATTTGTGTGTCTCCAACCGTAAGGCTATTGCAGTAACACAGGAACTAATTTGCAAAAGCGTTTTAAGCGCTAAAAATTCAGATATACTAATTGATACCAAAATAAAAAACGTTAAACTTTTATCAAATAATTTTAAAAATGAAGAACAGTTTTTATCAACTCTTTCGGAAGTTGGCGATGATGATGAGAAGCTAGATTTAATATCAACTGTTACTACCTCAACATGGGATAGCAATAGTATGGACGGAGTAAAAGAAAAATATGAAATTCATTTGCAGTGGAAAGGACAACAAGTACGTTAAAGAAGAAATTGTTTAAATTATTTTTAATGTTAATTTTATTATTTTAACTTTTAAGAGTTCTCGCTCCATGGAAGATTTAGCAAGTTGTGTTGTGCAAGACAAAGAAGAAGAAGCTGCTATATTAAATTATTATCGCCATCAATTAAATTTGTTCTCGAATATGTGTTTAAATCGTCAATATTTAGCGCTTAATAATTTATCCCCACATTTAGATATTGATTTAATACTGAAGTAAGTTAATATATTTAAGATTTACAAATTTGAACTTTTTTTTATTACACCAACTAGATGTATGTCTGACGAAACAATGCCATATGAATTGAGGGCTTCGTTTTGTCGACTTATGTTACACTTACATGTTGATCGTGATCCACAAGAGCCAGTAACACCTGTAAAATATGCTAGATTATGGAGTGAAATACCATCAAAAATGTCTATTTTAGAGTAAGCAGATAGTTAATTAAAATTTAAGTAATTTAATAGATTAATTTTGTAAATAATTTGCAGCTATGATGGTAAGAAGCAACAGCCCGATTTTAATAAAGAAGCTGTGCGTGCTAAATTTAATACAACAATCGCTTTCGTTGAAAATTATTTGTGCAATGTTGCAACAAAAGTTTGGTTGTTTACTGATCAGGAACAAAATAAGTTGACGTTTGAGGTTCGGTTTATTTAATATAAAATTATTAAGACTAAATAATAAAAGTTTTTATTGTATTTAGGTTGTGAAGTTGGCACGAGATTTAATTTATTTTGGTTTCTACAGCTTTAGTGATTTGTTGCGTTTAACTAAAACTCTACTTTGCATATTGGATTGTGTTTCTGATACTGGTGTTGATAATTCGACTGGTGGTCGATACGTTAGCCCTGAAATTGACTGTAAGTTAAAATTCAGTTATTAGTTATTTGTTGTTGCGAGACGTTTTTAAGTAGTAACTGACTGATTTACTTATAAATGCTTATTGACATCCAATTATCGGTTATGATTTTAGATTTTAAATAATTAATCTCATGGTATACAATTTAAGACTTTTCTTAGAGTTTATACCAAGAGAAATGGATTACATTTATATTTTTCTATATGTATTTGTAATTTGTACGATGGCAATATGAGGTGTAACGGTTTTTGTGTCAGATTCGTTCGTTTAAAGAAACGAATAATAATGAACTTTGATTCCTTTCTAATAATTAACTAAATACAATATAAAAATGTCTAAATAATAATTTATTTAGACACATTTTTTACCGAACGTTCTTCTTTAATGTAGGAGCCATAAGCCATAGTCCAAGTATCACAAAAATTTCAGTAATTAATATCGAATATAAAAAAACTAAACTTATAATTATGTCTAGTTTTTAATATATAACGTTGATTTTTTGATGTATATAATAAATTTAAAGTGAGCAAGCTTTAAACCTTATATTGGCTCGTGTTAAAGGAATAAATCAGTCAGAAACTTTTGTGCACGATATAGAATACGTTTGCGTTTTCGTTTTAAAATTTATTGATTAAAATTGAACTTTGGTTTTGCTTACATTTTATTTAAATTTGATTTAAAACAAAAAGCTGCGGATGAAGAGGAAGAGGGTAAGTTAGAATTAAACACTTTCTGTTCCCGACTGTAAAAAATTACAAATGCAACATTTTAATTTCATTTAAAAAAATGTTCAGTTTATAACTAAAAACAATTTATTTAATATTAAAAAATATTAGCTGAGGGTGGAGTTTTACGTTCAATTGGTGACATAAATACGGTAATGACTTCCTTAGCGCTTGGTTCAGTCGGCACGGCAATGGTAGCTCCAAATTCCATCTCTTTGCAACAGCGGAAATCAGTTTCTCAACTAATGAAAGAATATCCTCTCGTTATGGACACAAAATTAAAAATTATAGAAATTCTACAATTCATTCTTGATGTACGTTTGGATTATAGAATAAGTTGCCTCCTATCGATATTTAAACGTGAGTTTGATGAAACTGAGACTGGCGGTACACATGCTGATCCAACAGCTGCAGCAGCTGCATTAAGTGTACGCCAAAAAAATATCGATTTAGAGTCAATTGGCATGCAAGCGGAGGGTATATTTGACTGTGAAAAAGGAGATGCAATTAATCTCGACCTAGACGGGCAGGGAGGTCGAACTTTTCTGCGCGTACTCTTGCATCTCATAATGCATGATTATCCTCCGCTTGTTTCTGGTGCATTGCACTTATTATTTCGACATTTCAGTCAACGTCAGGAAGTATTACAAGCGTTCAGACAGGTTAGTGTAAACAAAAATTCATATTTATTTTTTAGGTCAATATGGAAAACAAGGTCTTTGAACGATTTAGCACGAGATTTCGTCTATAAAAATTCTTATCTTTCTGTAACAACAATTGTTCTATACCTTAATTAAATTTTTTATTTATTATTAAAATTTTGATTTTAAATCGTTCAAACTGTTTTTATTAAATTTAAAATAATTTGCTTATTTAATTTTTAATACTAATAATATTTTGTATTATTATTTACTTGGTTTAAGTATTTATACATTCTCTAAAGAACATTTGTTTTTAATGGATTGTATAGTTTGACTTTTAACTTTGTACTTTTTTATTAAAATTTTAAAGGTACAACTACTTGTGTCCGATAGCGATGTGGAATCGTACAAACAAATCAAATTTGATTTGGATATATTACGGCAAAGTGTGGAAAAATCGGAATTGTGGGTGTATAAATCGAAAACGACAGATGAAATGACAACAAGTAAGTAATGGACAGTTATTCTTATATTTGTTTTATAATTTCAATATTTTAGCTGAAGCCACAATTGATTCAACCACTCTCAACAATGAATATAGAGCTTCACTTTCAGAGGAGCAACTCAATGAGTATAAAAAGGTTAAAGAGATACTAATGCGCATGAATAAATTTTGCATTACCACAGGTTAACAAATATTTCTTTTATTTTTAGTAATCAATTTATTCGAATTTATTATTTTTTAGATGCAACAGGTGCTGTTGTCAAGCCACGTAAACACGAACAGCGTCTTTTGCGCAATGTTGGTGTTCATACCGTCGTTTTGGATTTGTTGCAAAATCCGTATGATGAAAAAGATGATGTACTTATGAAAGAACTTATGTGTTTGGCACATGAGTTTTTACAAAACTTTTGTCTTGGAAACCAACAAAATCAAGTACTGCTGCACAATCATTTGGATTTATTTTTGAATCCTGGCGTAAGTTCGTAGCAAAGCAATTTATTCTAATTAAAGTAATAGTATCCCCGTATATTTATACATAAAAAAATAGTGCCCTGAAGCAATATACGTATTTTTTTTTTAAATAAAAACTAACAAATTTATTCATTATTACTATTGTTGTTGCTGTTGTATCCCACGTAAGTGCTCTGCTTTTTTAATTCCAGTTCAGAAGGATAACAGATTCTTGGTCTTTTCAAAAATGAGTGGCTTCATTCCTCTTATTCCATCTATTCATTCATTATTGCTTATACTCGTACATCTTATTCGGAAAATGCATAATTAGTCGGGAAGATAATTATTTGGTACATTGTTAAAACCACTTTTTTTTTATAAAAGTCTTATATCAAGTTTTTAAAAGTTTAATATTACGTAAAAACAATTATTTTTGAACAAATAATAATAAATTAAATTAAAATTATATTTTCATATAATACCTCCGTTATAATGCAATCAATTTTAATCTCAAAAATATTTAACACATCGTACATTTTATATTAAATTTTTTTTGTGTCGGTAATGTTGGATTAAACTGTTAAGATGCAGTTTGGGGTTTATTTCTGGGTCTGTATTTACTCATGTTCATGTTGTCTTTTTCGAGTTAGTGCATCTGGGCACATTTACTCTTTGATAGCTAGGGTGTTTCTTCAGAGTCCCACTCTTCTCATTGACTAATTTATGTATTCCTCAAAAGCTTCGTGATTATTCGATGACTGATCTAAGATCTGCGAACCGCCCCGTGCGGCTAGAGATTATTCTGAGATAAGATAGTGCTAAGTAGGGTAGTCTGTATTTAATACATCCATATTTAATACTACATTTTTGACAGTTTTTAAAATTAAATTACATATATAATTATTATTGACCCTGAATAATATTTTTTTGCGATATTTGTGTATATATTATATGTTATTTTTAACAAAGAAAAACTTTATTAGAAATGAATAAAATCGTTGAATTTATTTATTGAGTAAACAATTTATAATTTGTACTTTTAGATATTGGAAGCAAAAACGGTTTGTGCAATTTTTAAAGACAATCTTACACTCTGCAATGAAGTGACGGATAAAGTTGTGCAACACTTTGTGCATTGCATAGAAATCCATGGACGTCATGTTGTGTATTTGCAATTTTTACAAACAATTGTTAAAGCTGAAAATCAATTTATAAGAAAATGTCAGGATATGGTTATGCAGGAGCTGATAAATGCTGGCGAAGATGTTTTAGTTTTTTACAATGACAAGACATCCTTTAATCAGTTTGTTGTGATGATGCAAAATTATCCTACACCTCTGCCTGATGACAGCCCATTACGCTATCATGTAGAACTCGTCAAACTTTTAGCTTGTTGCACCATGGGAAAAAATGTATATACGGAAATTAAATGTAATAATTTATTATCACTTGATGATATTGTTACCATTATTTGCAATCCGGGTTGCATATCAGAGGTAAAAGAAGCATATGTAGACTTTTTGAATCACTGTTATATCGATACTGAGGTTGAAATGAAAGAAATTTATTCCTCAAGCCATATGTGGAACTTATTTGAAAAATCTTTTCTTGTAGATATTAATCAGTTAATTGCGACAGGTGCAATTGCAGATAAGATTTTGCTTAATTATGTGCTTAATGTAGTCACGAATGTGTTAAGTACATTCTTTTCTAGTCCCTTTTCGGATCAAAGCACGATTGTGCAAGCACGACAAATGATTTTTGTGCAATTATTGCAAGCCACGTATCGTTTATCTCAGTGCAAATGGTTGTCACTGGCTGATCGTTTTAATGTCGAAAATTGTATTCGTACGTTGGCCGAATCGGCGAAAATGCGTAGCATTGCAATACCGATCGACTTAGAGCAACAAGTGGTTACTATGTCTAGCAAAACAGCATTACTGACACGTCAAACCACAAAATGGCTATTAGCGTCGAAACAACCAAAATACGAAACACAGCTTTCGGCGAATTTAATGCGATTAGATCGTTCTATAATAGAAGGTTTACAAGATATTGTATCACTATTAGAGGATCAGCTTAAACCAGTTGTAGAAGCGGAATTGTCTTTACTGGTAGATATACTCTATCGGTCGGAATTACTATTTCCAGCAGGTACAGAGGCTCGAAAGCGATGTGAAAGTGGCGGTTTTATACGAAAATTGATTAAGCATACAGAAAAGCTACTCGAAGAAAAGGAGGAAAAATTATGTGTGAAGGTGTTGCGTACACTGAGAGAAATGATGGCAATTGATGTCAATTATGGAGAGAAAGGTGACGGGTTAAGAAATACATTGCTTATGCGATATTTTGATCAAAAGAGTAATAATGGTGTAAAAGCTTTAGAAGGTATTTTAAATTCTTAATAAATTTGTTTTATGAACTTATAAATATTTAATTAATTCAGCTGGCAAGATAGATTTAAACAACGCTAGTTCAGTTGATCAACAAAAACGTATACACTTAGTTACTCACGGACCAGGAGCAAAGTACTTACAACGAGCGGGCAAAACCCTACACGAAGTACAAAATCACTTAGACCGAGAAGGCGCATCTGATTTAGTTGTCGAACTTGTTATTAAATCTGTACACTCACCTTCAATATTCGTTGAAGCTGTGGAATTGGGAATTGCGTTACTAGAAGGTGGTAATCCTATGATACAGAAGGGAATGTACCAAAAGTTCTTGAGTGGAGATTTTAATCAAGCTTTTTACAAAGTTTTTTTCGAAAAAATGAAGGATGCGCAACAAGAAATTAAATCGACTGTTACTGTAAATACATCTGATATAGCCGCGAAAGCACATGAAAATAAACAAGATGCAAATCTAGAACTGGATAAAATATCAAGAAAACACGGTGTAAAGAGTAACGGTGTTGTTATTACTGATGAACTCAAGAAAGAATTACACAACGCTGGTTTAGCTACAGCTCGAGCTTTTGGTAATGCACGAAATTTACATAATGGAGATGAGAATTCAACAATTAATATTAATAGTCCTTTGGAAGACATACTTGCTGAAAAGTTAGAAAAACACAAAGATAACAAAGAGGATCGTAATAAACTGTCAAACAAAGTGTTAGTAATGCAACCAATTCTGCGTTTTTTACAACTGCTCTGTGAAAATCACAATCCTGATCTCCAAAATTTACTTCGTAATCAAAATAATAAAACTAACTATAATTTGGTTTCAGAAACATTGATGTTTCTTGACTGTATTTGCGGTTCTACGACAGGTTAGACTAATTTACTGAACGATAAACATTAATGTACAATAATGCGATTACAATATTAATTTTTTAGGTGGACTTGGTTTACTTGGCTTATATATTAATGAGAATAATGTTGCTCTCATCAATCAAACTCTTGAGACTTTAACTGAGTATTGTCAAGGTCCATGTCATGAAAATCAAAACTGTATAGCTACTCATGAATCGAATGGCTTGGATATCATAACAGCTTTGATATTAAATAATATTAATCCGCTTGGTGAAAATCGTATGGATTTGGTGTTAGAACTAAAAAACAATGCATCCAAATTACTTTTGGCTATAATGGAAAGTCGTGGTGACAGCGAAAACGCTGAGAGGATTCTTTATAACATGAATCCAAAACAATTAATTGAAGTGGCATGTAAGGCTTATCATCAGGAAGAAATGATCGATGAAACTGATGAACAAGAAGAAGCCGAAGCGGATACTGAGGATGACGATGTTTCAGTCAGTCCACGTGAAGTTGGGCATAACATTTATATACTTTGCCATCAATTAGCACAACATAATAAAGAATTGGCATCTTTATTGAAGGCACCTGAGGATCCGCAATCTTCAAGTTTTGATACTAAAATGAGTCAAGCGTTGATGTATTACGCAACACACACTGCTCAAATTGAAGTTAGAACTTAAGCTTTTATATATATTAAGATGAAGTAAATTTCGTGTTTGTTTTTTTAGATTGTGCGTAATGACCGTACGCTTGAACAAATTGTATTTCCAATACCAGAAATTTGTGAATATCTTACCACAGACACGAAAAACAAAATTTTAAACACAGCTGAGCGAGATGATCAAGGTTCAAAAGTGGCCGATTTCTTTGATAAAGCAGAAGAAATGTTCAATGAAATGAAGTGGCAAAAAAAATTGCGAGGTATAAGTGTTGATTGTAAACTTTCAATTTAAAAAATTGTAATAATAAATCAATTATATAAAGGACAACCATTTCTGTTCTGGGTCAGTAGCTATATGTCTTTGTGGAGCAACATTTTATTCAATTGTGTAGTTGTAATAAACTTAATAGTAGCATTTTTCTACCCATTCGACCACACATTGCCTGGTAAATAAGTTATCATTTTGTTATTAGCACAATTTTTAATATGAATCTTCTTCAAAGAACTGAGCCAACATATTTCACTACTTTTTTGGACTATACTAATATTTTCGTTGGCTATTGTGGTTACGCTGCCACGAGAATCAGGAATACGCACGTTGATAGGTTCTATAATTTTACGCTCCATATTTCTGATTGGGCCTGAATCGACTTTAATGCTTTTGGGCGTGGTAACAGTAAGTAGTGTATATATTATATTCATTTTATGGATATACAATTTGCGTTTTAGGTTACACTGAAAAGCGTGCATATTGTCAGTATTATGGGCAACAAGGGAACATTGGAGAAAAACTTTTTTAAAATTATTTCGGACTTTCAATTATTATATCACTGTATATATATATTCTTTTGTTTCTGTGGCTTGATTTTTCATCCATTTTTTTATTCTTTGTTGGTAAGTGTAATTAAGTTCTTTAACTAAATAATATGAATATAATTATACATACATACTCTTTTTGTATTATGGATTAAATAAAAAAATATAATGTTTTAATTTCTATTAATTTCTGTATATTATAGAATATCAATTAACATTTCTATTTCTATCTAGTTATTTGATGTTGTATATCGTGAAGAAACGCTGGTAAATGTTATTAGATCCGTGACTCGTAATGGACGATCTATTGTGCTCACTGCTGTCTTAGCTTTAATACTAGTTTATCTCTTTTCTATAATCGGTTACATGTTCTTTAAAGATGATTTCTTGGTCCCTGTGGATGTAGAAAGTGGTAAACATAATTTAAATTAAGCAAATAAATAAATAATGTACTGTCACTGTTCTCTTTGCAGAAGTAACTGTATCGGTGGCGTCTGCGCCTATTGTTAGTCAAACATGTTCAAGTCCTGATGAAATTTCAAAAACCAAAGCTGATTTAACAAGTGGTAGTGGAGGAGGCAGCACTGATGCTAAAGAACGTGCCTGTGACTCTCTGGTGATGTGTATTGTAACTACACTTAATCAAGGGCTAAGAAATGGAGGTGGTATAGGCGATATATTACGTGCACCATCAAGCAAAGTATATTTTTATTTTATTTAATAATAAGCATCACTTATGTTAATTTTGTTTGTAACAGGAGGGACTTTTCGCTGCAAGAGTCATATATGATTTATTATTCTTCTTCATTGTCATTATTATTGTTTTAAACTTGATTTTTGGTGTTATAATCGACACATTTGCTGATTTAAGAAGCGAGAAGCAACAGAAGGAATTAATACTTAAAAATACGTGTTTTATATGTGGATTAAATCGTTCAGCGTTTGATAATAAAACCGTTAGCTTTGAAGAACACATTAAAAGCGAACATAATATGTGGCATTATTTGTACTTTATTGTTTTAGTTAAAGTGAAAGATCCAACTGAGTTTACTGGTCCTGAAAGTTATGTTTATGCAATGGTTAAGGCTGGCATTCTTGATTGGTTTCCACGTTTACGTGCCATGTCTTTAGCAGCTGTTGATGCTGATGGTGAACAAATTGAGTTACGTAGTATGCAAGCACAATTGTTAGAAACACAATTGCTTATTACAAATTTATCACAACAATTGCATGAATTAAAAGATCACATGACAGAGCAACGTAAACAAAAGCAACGTTTAGGTTTGTTAAATACAAATCCAAGCAATTTTTTAGCGAATTATCAATATCAGTGAATTAAATTTAAGTAAATAAGATAACTGTGTAAAATGTATAGTTTCGTGAGAGACGCTAAAATGTTCCCGAAGCAATTTCAAGGGAATACCAACAGTGAGTTTAAAAAGTTTCCTGAATTGGTTACAAAACAATTAAAGCAAAGCAATTTATTAAAAAAATTTCCATATAATTGTTAAGACTTAAAAATATATTTTATATAAATCAATTAGATATATTATATGTTTATTTAATTTAGTAATTATGCATCTTTAATATTTAAAACAAATTATTTTAAATGCTGAAAAAAAAAACAGAAAAAACAGAAAAAGTGAACATATATGTTAAAAGTTTTATTGTAAAGGGTTGAACTCTGCTTTTATATATTGAAGGAAACTTAATGTGCCTAGCACAATCATAATAATATATTAAACTTATTAAATTCCTTATAGAATATAATTAATATTTTCAAACTAATTTTTAAGGTTTGGCCAATTTTCTCAAAATTTTATAATTTATAAAAAAATGTGAAAATTAGAAAGAAGTATATTTATTGTACTATTAAATAAGATCTTACAGGTAATCTTATTTAAATAATTGTATCGAAACAATATGTACAAAATACAGTTTAACAAATTGCATAAAGTTTCACTATACAATGTAAAATTAATGAAATTAAATATTAATCTGTTTGAGAAATTATTCAATTACGAATTAGTTAATTTTTACGAACATTTACAAACAATAACATATATAATGAAATTATTAAAAAATTATTTAATTTTAAATTAATAACTAATCATTAATTAATCAGCAACATTATTTAATAGCTGATACTATTTTAAATGAATTATACAAAAGCGATATAGACGGTTTAGTTTAATTAGAGGACTATTATGTACTTAAATAATTTTTGCTTTTAACTCAGGGTTTTGAAAAAAATGGCATGTAGAAATTATTATGAGTTTTTTTTAACATTTAATTCTATATAATGATTAAATTTTCAAATAACTTATCAATTTATAATTAAGTCCTTAATAGTTTTTAGTATCTATGCCTTCGCAAAAAAAAGAAACTCTAATTTTCGATTATAAAAACAAATATTTAATTTTTTTTTTTAAATTATGTACAATATAATTTTAACAATGTAGTTTAACTTTTTTTATATTCGAATATATTTAGGTTATTATTTAAAAATTTAATATTACCCTAAAACGCAACAAATTGTGATTATTAGTGACAAAAATTGAATGTTACTTAAATTATAAATTGCTCTCAGTTTACTACGTCTCAGCTCAATTATTTCTAAATATTTGAAAATGCAATCGTATATTTTTAGGTAACTCTATTAACATTTTAAATGTAGGAATTAATATTATTAACTGCTATTAACGTTATTGGAAACTCAATATTTTTAACAACGTTGTATTGATAAATTGTAATTCTAACTTAGATTTAAATAAATTCTATGTACTATTAAATATGTATTAAATATATATATATACATTAAGACTGAAAAGTTTTCGGAAATTCTCATTTAAAATTCGCGCGCTGTATATTTTTCGATATTTTAAGTTTATGTAGTTTGGCAGCACTGTCATTAATTACTATGCCAAAAATGAGCGCGATCTGTCAGACAGTTCGTTTACGGCAGCTGTTGAAACCAGTTCACCTCAGTAGTGCGTTGCGAAATGTCTTCGCCGGTCGTACGACCGTCCTGAAAGGGTTTGTACCACTCATAAACTTGAGTTTTCGATAAAACTGATTCCCCATAAGCCTTTTGTAGCATTCGCAACGATTCTGCACACGAAATTTCGTTCGAAACACAAAATTTGATGCAAACTCTTTGTTCAATATTTTTTTCCATTGTTTTTTTCGCAACGCACTACTGAGGTGAACTGGTTTCAACAGCTGCCGTAAACGAACTGTCTGACAGATCGCGCTCATTTTTGGCATAGTAATTGTCCTTAATTTCTGCCAAACTACATAAACTTAAAATATCGAAAAATATACAGCGCGCGAATTTTAAATGAGAATTTCCGAAAACTTTTCGGTCTTAATGTATATATAATATAAAAAATAACATGCATATTAATTTTTGTTTCTTTAGAGTTTATTTTGAAGAATCATCCTCATATTGATTTTTATAACTGGCGATCTGTTATAGACTATACGAAGATTCTTTTGTGTGATGCTCTGATTAAGAACTTGTAAACTACAAGAAATGAAACTTAGAACTAGATTTGATTTGATTATTTTTCTTCCTAAACATGACTTTCTTGCTTTTATCATCAAACTAAAAAAAAAAAATTTTCTCTCTCCGTTTTATATGTGACGCTTTATGTTTTCTGATATGGTGATTATTAGTACGATATTTATAAGGTTCAAGGAAAACGATGTATTTTTTGAATTCGATTTTTAATAATAACTGCAATAATTTATTATTGTCTCACAATTAAAACATCTATCTAACAAAGTTAAACTAAAACTGAATCTACTCCTAAATTTTTTCATAGTTATTAAATCATACCTCTTGGCAAGGCACTTTTTCATTAAGCATGAAAACGAAACTACAGGACTTCATGATATAGGAGCAGAAGTATCTCAAGGTAGCATAATGGGACCAATGCTTTATCTTCTATATACTGCGGATCTTTCCCTTCCCGATGACAGTGTTATCGGTACATTTGCAGATCGGTACAGCTGTTTTATCAGTTGACAGTGACCCAATTCGTGCTTCCACCAAACTACAAACCTGCCTCAACAATGTTGCTCTCTGGATGAAAAATTTGCGTATCAAACCAAATGAGTCAAAATCTGTCCAAGTAACATTTACTGCAAAACGTTCTACTTGCCTGGCTGTCTGAATAAACAATACTCAATTACCACAAACTGTAGAAACAAAATACTTGGGCATACATCTGGATAGTAAACTAACCTGGAAACCACACATATTTAATAAGCGTGAAACCTTGGGTCTCAAATTGCAAAACTTATGTTAGTTCCTCAGCCGAAATTCCAAACTTTCACTAGACAATAAGCTGCTTATATACAAAACTGTACTAAAACCTATATGAAGTTATGAAGCCCAATTATGGGGTACTGCAGCAGACTTAAACTTGACAATTATCCAGCGTTTTCAATCTAAAACACTACGAATGATCACAAATGCACCTTGGTATGTAACGAATGAACAGCTGTTTATGCTACGTGTTCCGACAATCCAGCAAGAAATACTTCGAATTACAAAGAATTACTCTCATCGCATATATATGCATCACAACCCGCTATTTACACACCTGATTTCCCCCTTCCAACACTTTTAGAAGGCTAAAAAGAAAAACATCGAGAGACTTTTTAAATATGTATATGTAGGTCACACATTTCTATTTTAATTATATATGGATATGTCACTGGACATAGTCCATACGTGCCTTTCTTTTTTAGATCGTAATAACTATTTTTACGATTCAGTTAATATATTTTACTTATTGTCATTCATACTTGACAGATTGTAATAAAATAAATGAATTAAAAAAAATCTAACAAAGTTAATTGATAACTTATATTTTTACATTTAATTTTATAAAAAAATATATTAATAAATTAATTTAATCAAGCATTTAAAATGAAATTATAATTTATTAATATTATTAGTAACTAAAAAGTCTAAATGGAATAAAAATTAATTAAAATAAAAAAAGTTAATTGTAAATATTAAAAAAATCTGTGCGTCGGCCGGGAATCGAACCCGGATCAACTGCTTGGAAGGCAACTATGCTAACCATTACACCACCGACGCCCATGGATGCTGTATGTCTAAGTACCAATTTCAGTTTAAAAAAAAAATCAATACAACATTGATAATATATATGTAGCTTTCTAACATAAATTTGTTAAATATATTTTATATTGAAAACAAATAGATGAAATATTATTATTAAGTACAAACAGCCGCATAGACTTGCAAACTAAAAAATTTTAAGTTTACATAACATATTTAACTGAAATAAATTCATTTATCCAACACAAAATTATTCGAAATATTTTAGAAGTTCTCCAACTCTAAAATCACCCTTGTATATGCACTGATTCCAAATCCATTACAAATCACAAAAGATTTAGGAAACTTACTCCACCAGACAGTGACTATAGTGAGTGGTGTAAGTGAATTCACACTGTGTTCCGTAGTTGGATAATGGAGTATGTTAAGAGATATAATTCCTAATAAGATATTGGAACTGTATATGACATTAAAATTAGAGGCGATAACCATAAAAGGTGTAAATTGACGACGTGGGAATTACTTGAAAACTATATTTGTAAACAATAACTCCCGTTGATCAATTACTTACCATATTGTATGGATTTAGATACTATAGCTCACAAAAAATAGGAAAATAATAATTAATAAAATAATATTTTAAATAATAAGGATTTTATTAATCCTAAGGATTAATATAAAATCCTAAGGATTTTATTAATCCTTATTAACCAAATACTATGTCTGTTCCTCAAGCTACTCGTAAGAACTTCGAATTGGAATGTTGCTTTCTATTAATAAATTTTCGAATAAAAGGAAATTTCTGAGAGAGTTTAATATTCCTGTCGCTAATAAATTGTAATGCACATATGTTTATTTTAATCTAAAAAAATAATAGTAATCATTATATTTCTATGTTATTTAATTCATGTAAAATGAGTTTCAGATTTGTCATTATTTCCTTGCGTTCTTCAAAAAATTTTAAATATTTTATATATTTTGACGATCTTTTCTTTTCGCCCCTAATATTGCAATTGCATATCCGTTAAGACAACTAAGAACTTCCCTTACTTATTAAAAAATTGTGAGCTATTTCTGAAGAACTAAATTCTGTAAAAAGAGTAAAATTGCATTTTATTTGTCTTTATTTGCATTATTCTTTTCAAATTACTTAGTATACTTAAATTTTATATTATTATTATGTTGAGGCTAGTTGAGTCAGTGCACCTGAACACTTTTACTCTCTATTAACTGCGAGGTTTCTTCAAAAACCCCTCTTTGCGCCTTGACTGGATTATTGTTTATCACTTCATCAGACTAAGCAATAATTGACCTCAGATCTGCATACCTCTCCGAGGAGCCTGAATCCATTCTGAGAGTCGATGACGCGGTGTTGGTAAACCTGTTAGTTTTCGCAAATAATTTATATATATATTGTAAATAATATATTATATTAAATGATTGTTTTTTATTTGGAAAAAATAATAAAAATTAAAATAATAAATATTATTTCGCCTTTATTGATTTTAGTTCCAAGTACATTTAAGGGCGTCGGTGGTGTAATGGTTAGCATAGTTGCCTTCCAAGCAGTTGATCCGGGTTCGATTCCCGGCCGACGCACTTCTTTTTTATTTATTTTAATTATATCATAAAATATTTTTTTTTATAAAAATATTTTTATATTAATCTTATATCTGTATACTTATATATTTTTTTTTAATATTTATAAAAATTTTATATTTATTTATTTATAGTTTATATTTTTATATTAATCTTATATCTGTATATTTATATATTTTTTTTAATATTTATAAAAATTTTATATTTATTTATTTATAGTTTTAATGTCTTTACTTAATCTTATACTAACTAATAGAAATGTTTAGATATAAAAGCCATAATATTGTAGTTTCGTATCAACTTTACTTTTTATTATAATTCAAGCTTTATTAATCAGAGTTTTATTGTTATTATAGATAATATAATGAAAAAAAAAAATAAACAATTTTTATGGACGATCTATATAACGAAAGAATTTTACAACCAAGCGGCAGCTGTTGTGTGCTTGCCACCGGCAGCATTTGTACCAACCCATGGTCCTAGAGTTTCCAAATTAGGCACATGATTAATGCCTGCTGTAATTGGACTGAACGCGGTATCTTTAGTCAACGTTAAGTGATGAGCAGCTCCAGCATTTCCGTTGCGCGTATATTGATTAAATTTGGAGGCTTCGTATTCGCTTTTTTGAATTTCAGCAGCTGCTGCGTGTGCAGAACGTTGCAATGCAGCTGCAGCTTCGGCTTCACGTGCTGCAGCAATTCTCTGCATACTAGAGACAGCAGCCTTTGACGCTGCCAAACGTTGTTGTGCCAATACTACAGCCTGAGCAGCAGCAGCTGCTTCCGACCTTTGGACAGCTGCTGCAGCTTCTGATTTCTGTGTCAATATGGCGGCAGCAGTTTCCTTTTCCATAGCAATACGTTGTTGATTCAAAACATTTTCTTTAGCTGCCTGCATTTGTTGTTGAGCAATAAGAACATTTGCTGAAGCTTGTTTAGCAGCAGCTATTGCATTTGCCACCTCGGTTGGTGACGGAGAATTACCTCCTACTTTAGAAGAACCGCTAGAAACAATGTAAAATGAATTAAAATATTAATAAAATTTTAAAGAAATATACTACGAAGTCCAGGGATTCCATCCGTTGAGTGCACTGCCATATCCATTTGGAAAACGAGATCCCGTGTTAGTCCAAGGACTTCCTAATCCAAATGATGATGTTAAACCTCCATCTCCTATAAGAGCGTTCAAGCTACGTTTTGGTTTATTAGTTGTTGAGCTTATAGTTTCTGCAGTCGCATCCTTACTTGTACCAGCCGCTGCTAATGCAACCAAAGCTAGGAAAGTGATTGACATCTAAAATTAAAATGTTAAATCAGTCCAAGAAAACAACTAACTATGTTAAATGCTTAACCATGAATTTTGACAACATTTTGATTGGTTTAAGCTAGAAACTCTTGTAACTCTTGAAACTCTTTTACTCTTAATCAAATGCTAAGCAAATCACAACTACTACTATTTTGAAAAATGTGGCAAGTATTTATACTCAAAAATTACTTACTTACTAGGTTTCTGTTGGCGCATCCCAAAGGTTTCATACTCTGCAACGCATTGCAGAAGCTTAAATGAATCACGTACATTTGAGCCAATTTTCGGACCTTTCGCGTTTCTTTTACAAGTTGTTTACAGTGGATTTTAATGGGGTCCGGCGTAAGCATGATAAGTAACTTTATTGGCTAGTAGGAAATGAAAGCTAAATCTGCGTTTGCCGTTGCAATAATGTGATCTAATTTCAAAATATCCTAACCTTTTAAATCGATTAAAGTTAGTACTTTTTCTCCTGAAGTGCGAATTACATAAATTCAATCTTTCAATTATTTTAGTTTGCAATTCGATTATTTAATATTGATCAATTATTTTAAATGAACCCAACAAATGTATATTCGTTAAATACTTATGTTTAGTAAACATAAACATTCGTGAAGATCTATAAAACAGTTAGTTAAGCATCCAGTTATGATTTTTTTCGATTTTAGAAAACTTTTTGTTTTTAAGGTTGAGAAAATAAACAAAAATTAACTAGAATCAGTTTACACTTTTGTTTATTGCCTAATTGCAAAAATAAATGCTTGTCGAATTTAGTTGATCTTTTGTACTGCAACAGACCCTAACCGAACAGAAGACTTTCCGCCTTCCGAATTAAAGCCAGAGTGTTGGTCGTTGAGAACCTCTGAATGTCAGAATGGGAGAGTATTTTTCGACCTAGTGACCTCCTTCTGGCCCATTTTGTTAAGGTGATAACGCAATTCATGGTGACCCGTTAAATATCCCACCAGCAACCTTAACTCTGTTCTGCTGAAGAAAGATGCCTTATCATAACTGTGGGGATGAATTAGCTCTTTAACCTGGTGGCTACCTGAAATTTCGCGTCAGTAGCAACTTCTCTCTGCTGAAAACCATTTATCGATCAGAGATCTAGTTGTAGGCCACAATATGACCTATAAATTTGAGTGGCAGATCCTGACCTCGCAAGACTCTTGGCAGACTAATTACCATTTATTCGTGTACAAAACTATAATTTACAGGATCGAATCAACTAAATACATAGCAAATTTGTGTACATAAATTTAAGTATTTGAAAAAATTTTATTAGAGAGCTTTAACAGCAAATGGAAGAGATTCATAATTTGGGTTATCCATTCAAGAGAATGGATTGTCTTATAAATCTGATTTGTAGAAAAATTGTTTTTATTATTCGTTTGTTAATAGATAAATTATTGGTAATCACGTCAAAATGTTATGCTTATCATAAAAAGTGATTGTTAAATAGTCGAGATGTTGAAGAAAAGGATAAAAGTTTGTCCGTATGCAGTGCATGCCTATCGGAAACTTATCCATATAGAAATTTCCTTCCTGAATAACCTTAACGAACTACGTTAAGGCTAAATTCATAAACATAGCTAAGGTAGCAAATGTAAACAGCAGATAAAGTGATAAAGGTTGTTTTTTTTTCGCAGATATAACGAACGTAAAAAATGTAGACGGTACAAAACAGAAAACTTATATAGTTATAAAAGAGTACACATATGGCAAAACAGTAAAAAAACTCAAACAACACAAGTTCAATTAGATCATTAAATACTTAACACACAAAGATATATATATTTGACAGACTCCCTTATATTTACGTCTTGAAATAGAAACTTAATTAATTCGTATGTTACCCCTTATTTATACTTCTGCCTTGATTTCCATGTAGAACGGTAAAGCTAACTTATTACAGCACAATTTATTCAACCTCTAGTCGTTCATATTTACATCGATTAAAATTACAAAGCTTTTTATGCATGTTTCTGTAATTTTTATCCTAATTGTCATTTCACTTCTTCTTCCTGTCAGATTATCAACAACTGGTAAATTAATGGATATTGAAATTTGATATTGATATTGCTTCATAATTACTTTTTCCGGAATTTTTGTTGGTATTACCTTTGAGTAATCGAATATGTTATGTTCGCCTAATTGATTTTGGTATGAATTTCAGACACAATATATAAAATGCACATACTTCGCTTTGTCATTACTTTGTTCAAAGGTATATCCTAAGTATGATTGATCATAACTTAGCACTTTTCCCGTGTATTGCCCATTACAGTTTCTATATTTGCTACCTTTATAACAATTACTTCAGCCTTAATTAAGTACAGCTTTTGTGCTTCTTGTTAATATTATTAGAAAAAATAATAATAACTTGTACTGTTATTAATTATACTGCTTTATAACTTATCCAAGCAAAGCATTATATATATCCAACAGATATTAAACAGAAGATATGACAGAACGACTTAGATTTCTTCAACGAAGTTTAGTGTCGATAGGTAATCATAAATTTAGAATCAGTTTAAGATATATCTTAAGAGTATATCATGAAAAAAATAATGGTACTTAAACATTTCAATGGCCTACGAGATATTTGTAGAATTGCAGTTTATTCTTATCGCCTTATCTTCGAACAATTTTATATTTATTTAACGAATTTTAATGGATTATGTAAGTAGATATTAAACCAATCAATATTGTTATTAATATATTGCAATTGAGGTTTTTTCATAACCCCTCTCTACGCCTTGACTGGATTATTGTTTATCACTTCATCAGACTAAGCAATAACTGACCTCAGATCTGCATACTTTCCCGAGGAGCGGTTAGCGTGTTAAGCCTTTCAGTTTTCGTAAATAGTTTCAGTGTTCTATCCTACCATTTATGTATTTTTTGATCGAATCAATCTTGATGTCCCTGAGAATGTCATCCGTCCTAATGTACCATGGCACATTGAAAAGTCTTCTCAGAGCCTGGTTTTGTGCAATTTCTAGCTGGCGAATAATAATATTTGAGTCTCTGCTGAACGCTACATACTAATAGAAGTGACGGTGGAATTATTTAGTTATATATCAGTTTAATTGTTGAATAGCGATTGGAAATGATGAAGAATTTTGGCACAGCTAATTCTTTACAGTTAAACATGTTTAAGCCATGTTAATCGCTTGTCCACCGTGATGCCTAGATATTTAATGCCATCCTCCCAGTTTATTACCATAACTCTCGCTCTCACACCTTTTGTTTTATTTCTTTTTATAAAAAAATGTATTTGTTATTAGATTGCATCTGAGGGATTTTAATGACATTGCTGTATTGTTATTTTAAATATGTATTGCTAAAGTTTAATATTGCTGAAGGGAATATAAAACGCTATTTTATTCTTTATGCTGATGAGAGGTCTGTTTTAGAATAACTACACATGATTTTTTATTTCTAATTATTTAAATATTTATATGTTTATATAAATTTATATACATATACTAGCTGACCCGGCGAACGTTGTTTCCCCTTGCAATTAATTTTGCTGGCGTTCGTTGCCTTGCTCTTGACTTTCATTAGCACGTGTAATTGTATCCTGGTTTCTTACATCTTCATTGTTTTCTGCCGATCTATTTAACCGACGGTTCTGGAGTAATTGTGAATTCCGAGTCCGTCGACCAATATTTCCTCCTCGTCCACGAAGACGTGGCATTGTTTTTTGTACGATATTTATATCTTTATATATATAATTCTTCTTTTTTGTGTGTTGAATTTTTGAATTTCGCTGGATTTACCAGGAATACCACCACATAACTTAAGATTAAAAATTGGCTCACCTATAATTATGCTGCGGAATTTAAATGCACTTAAGCTATGCAAGGGCAGTTTTACAATTCATTTTAGAGATTTTAAAGTTTTTAAACAAATCAAAGTAAGCATGAATAAATTTTAAATTTTTAATATAAATGTATATGGATAGCAAAAAATAAAAAATTGATTGAAAAGACATTATCCAGTGGGCCAAATTGTGAATCTAAACCTTCCTTGAATCCACTTGAACACACACAAAAAATTTCATCAAAATCGGTTCAGCCGTTTAGGAGGAGTTCACTGTCAACACACGTATAGAAGAATTATATATATAAGATAAATATATATATAGTATTAGTTAACAAACTTGATTATTTGACATTAACAACATATTGTACTATCTTAGTAAGAAATTTAATTCAGACAAAAACTAGTTTATAATAAAACAAATTTTTTTCTATAAAATTAATGTATATTTTATCGATAAAACGTTTTTTTTAAAGAAAATTTGTGAACAGTTTGAAAAATACTAAGTTTAGTTTCATTTTCCTGACGTTCCCTACAATTTGACGTCTCACTTTAAAAATTTCCACTGCATTGTATTTTTGACACTAGTGACGTAGCTAAACCAACCAATCACAGTTCGACAGGTTCAGTTATACTTTAATAAAAACTTAGATACCGGTAAGATACAACAGATATTATGAAGAGCAATTGATTGGCAGATTGAAAAATTATTGAAGTAGTTACAAGAGTTGAAAAGAATTTTGTTAAAAATAAGACTAGAATTGTATTTATAAATTTTACTAAACTGGGTAAAAATATGCTGTTCAAAATAAATATAAACTGCTATGTGCAAATTTGTCAAATACTTTTAAATTACTTGTAAACTTATAAATTAAAGTACCAATAAAACAGCACAACGGGTTAAAAAAATTTAGAATATAGAGTTGGTTTAGAGGAATTGTAATTTTAATAATTTTATATTTACTTATTTTATAGTTGCTGCTCACTCTTTAAGATGAAATCACAAATTTTATTTGCAACAATTTGCTTCGTTTTGTTTGCTCACACGTTATCGCTGAAAGACGATGAATGTGAAGGTATGTTAAAAAATAATAAAATATTTGTTTATAATGTTAACAAAGAGCATTCATGTGAATTATTACAGTTTGTGTTAAGACTATAAACACATTTGCGGCGACTTTGGATGATGCCACAAAGAAAGACTATAAATTGATTGAAAATGAATTCAAAACATTCTGTAAAAAACAAAAAAATAAAGAACACAGATTCGTAAGTACATTACTTTTCTTAATAGATGGGAGTCCACTTATTTTCATTAAAATATTAACATATATTTTATGCGAATACATATCTTACGTATGCTTGAGAAAATAAGTGGGCGTATTACTCATGCAATCTTATTAACAAGTGAAAACATATCTAACTTCTAGTGTTACTATTTGGGTGGTCTGGAAGAATCAGCTACTGGTATTTTGAATGAACTTAGCAAGCCAATAAGTTGGTCGATGCCTGCAGAAAAAATTTGTGAAAAACTTAAAAAAAAGGATGCTCAAGTTTGTGATTTACGTTACGGTGAGTAAATAGAGTTTATAATTTAATTTATTGATGAACCTAATGCGTCTTCTACTATATTTACATCCACAATAGAAGGTCATTGAAATATTTTTATATATATAATTTTTACATAAACTGACACTTATTGTTACATATTTATCAAGTTGATTACGATAGTGTAAACACTATTAACTTATATATTTATATGAAAGATATCATTTAATGCTAGAGAAAACGTTTTAATGTTATTGAATTACAGAATCGAAGTATTGTGTAAATGACGTATTGTGTAACGTTTTCGATAGCTAAATCTGGATTCAATCTAGATTTACTCTCAATCTATAAAATTTTGTTGTTCAATCAAACATTTTTAGAGTAATCCAACATTTTTGTAGTAGTGTTGTTAGATATTTATATACCTCATAAATATATATATCGAAAGAAATCACACTTTATTTTTCAAGTTATATAAATGAATCTCGATTGAAAAATATCACAGATTTTTTAATCGAAAACGGCATTAGTGAGAGGGATTTTTGTTAGTATTAATTATTAATATAATTAAGATGAACCCTTATTTTAGATATTAAAAAGAAATAGTTTAAATAGTATAGTATATTGAAGAAAAAGTACTTAATAATTATTACTTACCGGCGATACATAAAAGAGTACATAACAAAATACAATTTAACTAAAATTTTAAAAAAACCGAAAACTTGTTACAAATATTTCTATTTTAATTTTAATAATTTAATAAGCCTGTTTAATGAAGTTCATAATAAAATAAAAGTCTTCCCCAATTTTATTTGAATTTGACAAAAATTTTAAATTCTTTTCTTCACTAAAATTTAAATAATAATTTAAAAAAGGAAAATTTTAAAAATTAATTATGTTAAAATCACTCATGTAACCACGTGGCTTGAATTTGGCATGGCTTTTATATAATTGATTTATATCGGAAACATATTATTATTATTGTTCTAATCCAAGCACGAAACTAGTTTTAAGTCTACATCAGTGGGAACAATCATAATAAGATCATTGAAAGTTAAATTTACTTAGACCATTTTTTACTACAGCTAATACTTGATTATATCAAATAAATAAGTTAAAATGCTAAAAAATTTTTAACAAATTTAATTAAGTTTATAATTTTGCAATATATAAATAATTAATTGTTTTAATGAACAAATATTTTTAATTGCAATTTATAAATTTAAACTATAGAACCAAACTATTATAAATAAGGTGTTTACCATTGTATTTGGTCGTATTGAGCAATATATATGAAAATCACTAATTAAAATCTGTTAAGTACTATTATTATTTTTCTAATTAGTATCATCGCTTGTGATAAGAGCACAAGACAAAACTGTAAATCATTAATAATCATTTTATATTCTAGTTAAACAGTATATTTTATAAAATAATTATATTTTTTTTCTAGAGAAACAAATTGATTTAAATGCAGTTGATTTAAAGAAACTAAAGGTACGTGATCTTAAGAAAATCTTAAATGACTGGGATGAAACCTGCGAAGGATGTTTGGAAAAGACAGATTTTATTAAGAGAATAGAAGAATTGAAGCCAAAGTACGTACGCAGTGATTTATAAGATTGATTTAATTAGTTGATTGATCAGCTGTAGTTTCTTAAAACTTAAATTAAGTTAATATAAACTTGTTCTGCGACTCATTTTATTAGCACTGTTCACACATAGTTAAGTAAAAAGTAACAAATATATTTATTTTAATTTACCATAAATTCAATTTTCTATGTTAAAATAAAACAAAAAATGATTTTTTATAAATTTAATGTTTTTTATTTATTGCAAAATTATTATACGACGGACAACATAGAAAAGTTTAGTTACATATTAAAGTAAACTAAATTAAGTAAATTCAAATATTTTATTATACTTCGAAAAAGGTTAAGAGTATTTCTGACTAAAAAAAAACAGGAAATTAGAATTTGTTGTTTAATGTAATATTAAAACAGTTATTTGATAAACAATAAATTATTATACGTTAAAAAATATCTAAAAATTATATTTTTTATATAACTTAGTTACAAAAATCATTTGTTTAGAAAATTTATAAAATTTATTAAGAAATTTCGTTAGCTCTACTAAAATCTAATTTGAATAAATAATATTTTTAAGAACTAAAATATTTAATTTAGCGGCGGTATGGTTGTTTGTTATAACGACCTCTTTCACTTTCTTCCGACAGGATACAGTATTGACTGTACACCACAACCCAGCAGTATGTCAGGATTGCTGAAACAAAAAGTAATAATTTATTTAAAATAAATTATTTTATAATATATATTTAGTTTTAAAGAAGTATTATATAAACTTTTTATATTAATTTATGAATTTTATGAGTGGGCTAATTAGTCATTTAAATAAATATATATATGTAATTTATTATTTATATTTCAAACAAATTATTTTATTAAGACATTTTCTAATATTTCGACTGTCTTCGATAGTCATCTTCAGGGAAACTAACAAAATATACGATGTAAAACTTATAGCGGGAAAACTTTTAAAAGTTAAAAATTAAATTTTTCATATTTTTTTCGTCACAGGGTCTTAAAGGGAAATTAAATTTTTTATTTAACAATAAAAACTGACAATAATGGCGTCAGTTTTTTGGAGAACCAAGTAAATGAGATACTTAGCCTCTGCGAACACAGGCAGACATTTATAAGAGCAAATGTTGAAAAACCGAAAGAGAGATAGCGTAACTCAAGTACCTGCAAAGTTGGCACCAGTGATAACTGCGTTAAAACCTGGCTTTAAAGAAATTCTAAAATATATCTGTTCGACTCACTTAAAACTGAGTTTCGTTCCTAATATGTCAAAGAATTAATTTGAATTTGAAGTAATATAAAAACTTTTAAAACAAAAAAAAGAGAGAAAATATGGATAATTAACGTGTTAATATAATTTTTCTCTAATCTGTAACCCGTAACTTTTTTATTTTGGTAAGAGTACTCTTTCAGAGATACTATTATCATAATTTCTATTTAAGGCCTAAAGAGCGCATGAAGATAAGGTTAAAATTGTATAAGTTAAGTAGTCTGTCAGTTATTAAGTAGCCTTAAGTTATTGAACTTGTAGAAGAAACCTGGATGTGTAATACAAATTAATTCCCACACTTAACTGTTTTGAAAATTCATGAGGCCATAATGCGACCGATTGCAAGATTAAAATAAATTAAGTTATTTCTTATATTCATAATAAATAAGAGATTCTAATTGAAATCCAAATATTTTGATTTCGCTAAAATTGCATATTCAATGCATCAATAAAATAAATAACTATTGAAAAAAATTAGTTTTAAAATATTTTAAATAATACAAGAAATAATTCGAAAAATTAAGAATAAGATTAACTTTCGCTGTGCTAAATAATTAATCAATTTAGTACCTTAAGAAATATTCTTGAATCATATACTATTCTCTTTCAAAAGAAATTTAGATGTTATATATGGAATCACAATTATTCCTTTGATATTTTAAGTATATTTTAAACCTTTTAAGTGCAATATATTAATTTCACACATAACATTCTTATGGTATATGATGGTATTCGGCATCCGGTTAATTATAGGCGCTTCTCTGTTGCGGTTTCGCTTTGCAAATATGCTTAAACATTCACTTCAGGGATCAAATTAATAATTTATTGTAATTGTAATTGTAATCATGACGTTAATGTGATTACAGTAAATTGTAACTACGTAACTTACTTGGATTAATAAAAAATGAATATTAATTTTCTTACCGCATGCAATTAACCCAAAGACCAGCCATAATACGCCAGTTAGCACGAAGCCATCAATAAAGAACACAACAGCGGTGTAAATGACAGATACGAGCAAACCAATGGCTATCATAATACCCAGTACAACCCAGGGCATCATTAAATAATGATTTCGCTAAAATTATAAAATGAAAATATTATTCAATCAATATTCAGTTTTATTTATTATTTGAGTTCGAAACAAATTCCACTTACCTTCAGGACACCTACTATCATTAGCAAGGATATTAAAATTGTCATACAAAGATTTATGACGAGAATTATTTTAACAATATTAGTGGGTATCCAATCGAAGAAAATCGTTTTAAATGCTACACGTGTTGTAAATATGACAATGATGGTAATTATGGATAGCAGTATGGCCAAAATACCAGAAATGATGGAACCATTTCGTAGTGATTGACAGAAGCAGCAGGTTTTTAAAGGTGGTTGTGCCATTTTTTGTACTTTTTTAAAATAAAATTCGAGTTACTTAACTGTAAATAAAATAAATAATACTGTCAGTAATATAAGAACATATAATTTTAGTTTATAATAGTAAATAATATACAGTACAATCTTAATTTAAATCGTACTCGACATAGAGAATCCTCCAAATAACGAATTACCAAATTCTTGTAAATAACAATCATATCAAAAATATTCTCTCAAAATAATGAATGCTGCATACAAAATATTTTCAAAAAAACTGAAGGTCTTGATATATTTTTGGTTACACCGGGAATCTAATGTATATGCATATAAGCTTGAAAGTTTGAAATCTTACAAGGAATATTATCCATAACAAACAAATTTTATTGAAATATATCACCAATTATTACATCCTTCCATCGTTTAAATTCTTCTAAGAGGAGCTAAAGAATAGTTGAAATGATTACTATTTTTGTTGAGTTTAGATGTTCTAGCATTTATATAATTGGTGATGGTTAGAAAAATCTCTAACCACCTAAAATAATATTGGCATACCAGGGAATTTTAAATATCTAAAATATTGAAATTAGCATAATGTTGGAAAGATAATTCTTAGTTTTATTTTGAAACCTTCGATTTATCAAAAACTTAAGATGAGCTCCCAGATTTAACAAATGCTTACTCACTATTAATGGTCATTATAGCTGCTACCTTTTTTGATGTAACGCTTTGTGTAAGAGTTGTGTCATTCTAATAAGTTACAGGTCAGTAGATTTTCCTAAAACCGAATTGTTCATATGGTAGAACATTTACCTCCTCATTATTAATAAAAAGAAGGGATTGTGCATTGCCTAAAAGATCTATTGTGCCCCTTACTCGGGTTGGAGTGTTTCTCCAACTCCGATTTCTTTAATGAAAGACACTATAAAGCGTACCTTTCCTAGTCTTGAATCTTTATGATCCATGAAATACCCTCCTAGGTGTTTCTTCCGCTTGGCAATCCATGCCGGGCACTCTTCAAGCACATGGCATGCAGTTTCTCTCTTTTCTCTACAGTATCTGCAGTCTGAGTTGGATTGAATTCCTAACTTTGATAGGTAATTATTCAATTTACAGGGACCAGTCAATAATCCTGTAATAATTCTTAGGTTGTTTTTTGATTGTGCTATGCAATCTTTGAAGCGTTTAAGGTTATAAGTCCCTAACAGCATTTTGGATTGTGACAGTCCTGGTATCCTTTCCCAATAGAATTCTCTTTCTTTTTCCTCTGTACCATTCATAAGAATAGATAGAGCTCCTTTGCCTAGATCACAGAATGGTTCTGGGCCTATCATTCTTGAGGCTGCGCCTTTTATTGCAATTTTGTCACCATTTAATTGCCTTGGATACTAGCATGTCCCGGAATCCATATTAGATGCACGTGATTTTTCCAGCCGATACCATACCAGTTTAGATGATACCTGGTAGGATATGAGTGCCATTATAGCTACCTGGCTGTCAGTCAGTATTGCGATTTTACGATTCCGGTAGTTACGTTCAAGGTTGAAACTGTCGGATTTATCTATTGCGTATATTTCCGCTTGAAAGATAGTTCCATTATTTCCTAGTGCTTCCCAGTATCTCTTGCCTGGTCCATAAACATCAGCCCTCGCTCCCTCATTGTTGAGGGAGCCGTCCGAATACCATGTTAATATGTTTTCTTTAATTATTTGAGTTTTAGATAAGCCTTCCCAATTCTTTTTATTGCCAAGTTCAGTTTTGAAGTTATTTGAAAAGTTTAACTTTACAATCATCCATTTCAATTTCTGGGATTTGTGCAGCCAGAGTATCAGATTTTTTGCTGTTGGTTTCGAGACCAGCCATCCTGTTTGTAATTACTCTAAGAGCAGCCTTCTTCGCCTGTGATTGCACATGGATGTAAAGAAGTGTGGGTTCCAGGAGTACTTCAATTGATGACGTGGGACATGTTCTCATTGATCCTGTTATGCTTACACATTCAAGTCGCTGTACCTTGTTGAGTGTGTTAATAACGATTTGCTGTTTTATGCAGTTTTGCCAGACTATTGTTCCGTAAGTGACCATAGGTCTGATTATTGCTGTGTATATCCATTACAGTGACTTTGGTGTACACCCCCAATTCTTACCTACGATGGATCTACATGTAATAAAGGTGTTGGCTGCCTTTTTTGTTACTTCTTGGATGTGAGATTTCCATAGTAATTTATTGTCTAAAATTATACCCAAAAATGTTACCTCCTTTTGTGGTTTTATTTCTAACCCATTAAAGAGGATGCGTTTAAGATTTTTTTATTTTGTATTTTCTTGTAAATGGTACAATGGTTGTTTTTGCTGGATTTATTTTCAGCATAACAGAATTGCACCGTTCTTTTGTTAGTTTTAGGCCTAACTGGATTCTTTCGTACAGAGTATGTTCGATTATTATCACATTATCGGCGTATCCCTGGATTTGGAAGCCATTCCTATCCAGTTTTACCAATAGTTCATCCACTACCATACTCCACATTAGGGGTGATAGTACTCCACCTTGGGGACACCTTCGTGAAGTGTTTGCAAAAATATTGCCATTACTGGTCGGAATTTCTACTCTCCTGGTGCGAAGCATGTTGCTCATTCAGCGTGAAAGTGTGCCATTGATTCCTCTTCTACAAAGAGTTGAGTTTATGACCTCATGTGAAGTGTTATCAAAGGCTCCTTCAATATCTAAGAAAACGCAGATTGCTATTTCTATCTTATCTATGCTGTCCTGAATCGTTTTTCTTAGTTGAGGTTCACTTCCTTAGCGTCTTCGTGTATTCTAGTAAACATTGCAAGCAGTGTGATTTTCCGTACGGGTGGCAGCAAACTAATAATGCAAAATTAAGTAACTATATGTATTTGTATCAACCTCGTTTTTACTTTGAAATTAAAGTTTTGTTTGACGTCACTAGGGATAGATCCCCTAGAAGCTAAAGAATATATATTTAAAGAAGTATGTATATAAAAGTCATGAAAATATTTGAATTTTTTAAAATAAATTCAATTAAACAAAATATTTATAGTATTTATAAAAATATTTGAATTTATTAAAATAAATTCATCTAAACAAAATATTTATAGTAACTTTACTTTGATAACACACTTTAAATTAAGACTCATATTCATAGAATTGACAATACGAGTAATCAAGCAATTATCCGCGTAATATTTATAAAAGGATGTAAAGTCTGCACCTAAAGTGGAGTCTAGACATATGGAGAAAGAAGTGTTTTAAGAGGATTTGGCGACAGTGACTAGTGCATAATTATTAAAAGAAAGGTCAAGTGTTTACTTTATACGGGACAAGGGATTTTTTTAGAGAAAGGGGATAATATATTTATATAATGATTTAAATAAAATGTCGGCTTATAAAAATTTTGTACATATATTCATATATGTTTAAAATTCAATTTTTCATTAATTTGGAATATTTTTTAAAAAAGTTTTAATTTTTAATTATACATTTATATGTATGTATCTGATTTATACATAGCATATATTCATTTTATTTAAAATAAAAAAAATGTCTGCCAAGAAAAAATGTAAAAATCTAACATATTGAAGTACATAATCATTAATGACGTCAATAGATTTAGTATATGCATATTCGTATAAGAACGAAAATTTAATCAATGTAAACAAACAAAAAAATATAAAAATAAAATTTAAATTTTAAACTTGAGAAATCGATGAAACTGAAGAAAAGTAAATCTCGGTATATATTGTACGAAGAAACGTGCAAAAAATTTTATTTTTGCCGGAGAAAAACGTAAAATTTTAAAATTAAACTTATGATTCATAGAAAAAGTAAAATTCGTTATTTGTATATTTTGTTCGTTGTTTAAATATTAAAAATTCATATTTTAAGTTTTGGCAAGTATTAGTAGTTTTTTTTTTCTACAATAGAATATGAAGTGATGAGTTTGTTATCGTTTAGATAAATTTATCAAAATACTTCATTTAGTTGCTAAATGAATATTATAAAATAACAAATAAAGTTAACAAGCTCTCCCTTCCAATCCCTTTCAAACGGACAATTATGTATATCAGATAACAATTATTCTTCTTTTGACTTCACATAATTTTTTTTTAACTATGTTAGTCTTTTAACAATTTCAGAATATGTTTCTCTTTCCCTTGCAGCAGCCAATCTGATCTGATCTGATCGCGACTATTATTGTCTAGTGCATTTCATTAATTTTAACTTAAAAATCTTCTTTTCTGCACAAAAAAGTTATTACTAATAAAAAAATTAAAAAAAAATTTATCGAAACAATAAGTTTATCGGTATTTATTTTGACTGAGTATTACATATCTGTACAATATTAATCAATTGCTATTTATATTTATTAACTTAACCTAACTAAATTTTTAAAAAGTCCTTGAGCAAAATTCCATTATATTTGTTGAGATAAAGCAGAAATGTTTGGATATTAAGTATGACAAACGGGTCTTGAACAAGAAATATGAAAATCGGTGGACGATGAAAGTTGTTTTAGTGTTTGACGTCTTCTTCACAAACATATCACTTATGTTAATCCGTTGTCATATCCGTTATAATAACAATATATTGCATAAAAGCTAAATTTTTGTTTTGAAAGTTGATCATTGGTTACATCGATTTCAAAAAAATACTACATATCAAAATCTTCAAAAAAAAGGAAAATTTTGAAATTCGGAGAGATGCCTAAAGTCGAGGCAAAATTATATCAATGGTTCTGCGCACAACAAAATAGAAGTCTTCCAGTCTTTCGTGAAATATTGAAAACAAAAGCAAAAGAGATAAATAACATTTTGAAAGAAATGAATAATATTTTTCCCCAGCGATGGATGGGTTCAGAAGTTTAACGAAGATTTGGAATGAAGCTTCTAAAAATTTCAGGGAAAAAGTTATATTCAAGTTCTCATCTTGTGAATCCCTTTAAAAGCACTTTTAATTCGTTAATAAAAGCGCATAACTCAATAGAAGATCATATCAATAATGCAGACGAGCCAAGTCTTTTATGGAAAATGCATCCTTCTAAAACTT